GCCTGTGGTCCCAGCTACTTGGGAGGCTGAGGCAGGAGACTCGCTTGAGCCCAGGAGTTGGAGGTTGCTGTGAGCGTGATGCCATGGCCCTCTACCCAGGGGGATAGCTTGAAGCTCCGTCTCAAAAAAAAAATAAAGAGTGAGTACCTGCTTAAGAATGAGGTAACTTGAGCCCTGAGAGTGAGTTGTTCCTAAAATGTTGCACCCTAGTCAGCTATCTTGCCGCAGCCTAGTCTCAGCCCAGCACTTCATCCATTCCTTCAGTACCTGGTCCCTTTGCCAGGATCCCCTAAGGTTTCCAGGACTGAAAGCAGAGATGGGGCAGGCCATCATTCAGGCTGCCTCATCCCTACTCTGGGGTACCGCATGCCATGTCAACTCTTCCGAGCACCACATTATTCTGTTGACTCAAGGTGGTCAACTATCACATGAATAGCCACCAAAACAGGTCTTCTCCATCCTGTCCTTCTCTGCTGATTTTGAATCTCTCAAGAAGGCCTTAAGAGAGGGCATTCAAAAGCCAAGGAGTCAGAGCAATAGAGGAAATGGCTCCATAGAGAAGATTGTGGAAGAGAAAATAGGGTCAGAGAGATGTGGGAGTCAGGGAATTAGAGATCAGAGAGATAAGGCCAGAGATAAAAAGCTGGAGACAGCAGTAGAATAGTGGAGTCAAAGGGACAGATACATGAAGGAAATGGGGTGGAAGAATGCCCCTGAAGCTTAGGGACCTGGAAGAATCAGAAACCTAAACAAGATATCCAAAAGATAAAACTTAGGAAAAGGAAGAACTCAGCATACATAGGGCTTGGGGGATGGGTGGGTGGGAAGAGACCCACAAGGGGGCACAGAGCTGGGAAAGAGGGCTGAGTTGGAGTAAGGTTGTGTTTGTGGAGGGGGCTACAGAATATACAAAGGAGGAAAAATTAACCAGAAACACAGATCTCTCTGGCCTGGGAATTTCATTTTTTTGATTGGTATTGGATTAAAGAGAGGAGCCATCACTAGCCTCTCTCTGTCCTTCCACTTTCCACCACTCTGTACTGGGAAGAGCTGGGAATAGGAGAGGGGCCACCACTGCTGCTCTGATGCCTAAGATCACTCCACCCTTGGGCTCAGGTGAGGTGCTGGTGAGGTGCTGCTTTGGGATTCACCTAGGATCAGGAACCAGTAACCAGATGTCTATCCTCTCTGGAGAGCGTGCCTCTGAGATGGAACACAGACGGAAGCCAGGAAGGTTAGGAACAGGGTCTGGACTGGCTGTGGGTTCAGTGTTTCAAGATAGGGTTGGTTTGTGGCCCACAGGAAAGGGCGCACCAGCTAAGATTGAACTGAGGGTTTGCAAAGAGCCAGGAGAAGAACATCATCCCTAGGTAACTCCTGTGGTCTTTGGCCAAGAATCATCACTCTTGAAAGGAATCCCTTGTGGAGGAGTAAGCCCTGTGCCAACAGCTGCACCACATCCACTCACCTAGTGAGAAGAGGAAGGCGGAGAGAAGCTGGTTTCAGCTGTTTAACACTCTTCCTTGGGCTTTCCCTTAACAGAGGTCAGTGGGGAAGGGGCCCTCTGGAGGGAGGAGAAAAGGGGAAGGAGGAGTAGGGGATGCAGGGGCGGGGCTGAGAGCAGGAAATGAGCTGGGAACCACCATCACCCTCCCTCTGCTGCAGGCACCCCAACTCAGAGCAGAGGCTGTGACAAAGAGGAAATGACAGATTGGGGTGGGGTAGGATGGGGGGAATAACTATGCCCTTCTCAGAAAGGAGCTTGAAGTCCCCAAAACAAGCTGAGCTGGGCAGCCAGGATACCTGGGTTTGATTTCAAATCAAATCAAGAAGTGGTTTTGAGTGGACACTCCATGCCAGTCCTGGTTGCGAGCCTGATCTTATGCCTGGTCCTGCTGGCTTCAAAGCCCACCCCAAGGTAACCCAGGAGGGGAGCTGGGTGAGCTCACAGACAGCCCCCACACCCATCCCACCAGCTTCAAACCAGGCCTCACGCCATCTCTTTCACTCTTCCCCATTTCAGAAATTCTCCCCTGAGCCCTCACTTGGAACCAGTTTCTCCTTTGCAATGAGAGATGGGAGAATCACAAAACTGCCAGAGGAGACTGTCCCCAACCCATATCCTCTCCTGTGGCCCCAGAAGGCGGCACCAGGGCCAGAGCCTGGTGCGCTCCTCCAACCAGGAAAACCCCTTCCTCTACAAGCGCTGTCCTCAGACTTTCCTGGGGTCCTCCTCTTGCCCTTTCACTCAGACCCAAGGACAATCATTGCCGCTTCAGTCACTCCTCTCTCGGACCTCCTGACAGCTCAGCCTCCCTCTCTTGCCCCTGGTCACCTGCCCTTCATCTCTGTTTCCTGCCTCCTCTAGGTTTCCAATCTCTCCATCCTCCTGTCGCTACTCCCTCGGTGCTCACATTCTCATCACCTCACCACCATTTCCAGAAAATTTCACAGGGAGCTACCCTGCCTTCATTTCCTGTCTTGCCTACTCATAGGTCTCTTGGATGGTGACCCCAGGCCACTGCTCCTTCCCCAGAAGCATTGGGAGCTGCCTCTGCCCCTCAGACTGGGTAAGGCTGGAGACCTCTGTGCCACCCCACCCGCCGCAGCAGCTTCCTCCTTACCCTCCTGGCCTGAGTGCTGCAGGTGCTCCTGCAGGTCACAGCCGAACACCCGCTCCTTCGAGCTGCCCTTCTTCTTTCCTTTCTGCCGAGACTTCATGGCCAGAGCCCCAGGACCCTGGCCCAGCCACCTCTGTTCCCCAAGACCTTTGCCCTACCAGTCCCCCATAGGATCCCAGCTGGCCCTGGGCCTGGCCCAGCCCCAGAGGGGCAGGGCTCCAAACTGGGGGTGGAGGGTGGCCTAGGCAAGGGGCAGTGGCTCCTGCCACTGGGGCCCCGGCCACACGGAAGTGGCTGTGGAAGAGGAAGCTGCCAGGACCCTGGCAAGAAGCTGTGTCTCGTGGCCCAGACTGGCACTCGCCCTTCTCGCCCCACTCAGCTCTGGGTGGGGGGGGCAGGAAGCTGTGCAGCTCCTCAAACCCACTTCCTGATAGAGCATCTCTGCAACCACAGGGCCTGGGGTGGGGGAGGTAGCTAACATCCACGTCCTCACCCATTGCTGGGACTTCGCTCATTGGTCAAGGGGTGGTGATGTCAGAGCCCTGGGGTGGGGTGATGGCGCCTGGGGTGTGAGCAGGTGACCGATACCCTCAGAGATCAGAATTCTTGGGTCCGAGGTGGAGACGTAAGGCTTGCTTGGAAGCAAGGCCATGCATGGCTGTGCAGAGCACACCCAGGAAGGAGGATGCCCAGGTTCTACCTTGGATGGGCCTGTCACCTCAGTCAAGTCAATCACTTCACTGAGCCTCAGTTTCCATACCTATGAAAGTGAGGTGATTTTTAAATCTTCCAGCTCTGACAGTCTGTAAAAGTCATTTGAGTTTCAGTTTCTTTATCTGTAAAAAGGGTATTTCACACAGCTGTTATTGTTCAGTCTTCAGTAAAACAAAGAATGTAAAATACTTTACAAACTAAAGTATTGGTTATCCTAGGACAGGTTCTTAGTGCCACTGTCCTATCTAGGGACTCTCAGAGATGTCTGAAGGCCTTGTGGGGGCTGTTCTTTCACCTTCCCCCCACCACTTGAGACTATAAGAAGGAGGATACTAAGATGGCGGTTATAGAATTCAGGACTCATACAGTTCAAGGGGCAAGACAGGAACCAGACAGAACAAGTTTTGCCTGTTTATTTAAAAACAGAATATCATTTTATGTACAAATATGCACATATTTACAAAAAAATGTACATATTAGGATCTTAGATCTTCAGGCTCCACATTCAAAGTCCAGGGTTGGCTGAGCAACAGGGATGAGAGCCTCTTCTTTAGTCCCAAAATCCAGCAGATTTCAGGCCAAGAAAGGTTTGGGTATTAAATCTAGGTATTCTGGCTGAGTGTATTTGGGTGGGCTAGGTAAAATAAACTTCATCTAGCCCCAGGCCCTACCCAGAGAAACTGCTGGGAGAGCTTTGAACTAGTGACCCAGAAACCCCTGGAGAAAAAGGCAACATTCTCAGTCTCAGCACCTCCTTCGCCTCATCTGAACTCCCACCCTCCCTTGGTCTATAATCCCTACTCTCTCTCCCTACACCACCATTGAACCAGGAGCCCTTACCACCAAGTCCCAGCAATTCCTCAAGGGACCACAAACAACTGAAAAAAGAGACAAAGTCAGGGAGAGTTGAGGGGCCTGTTCTCCCCTGTTCTCCCCTAGCCAGTGACCAGATTCTACCAGCTCTCAGGCTCCCTTCCATGGGGCTGACTGAATGAAAATGCCTTAGAAGGAGCACCTTTCAGAACCATAGCAATTAACCACCTGGGATGGAGTCTGAGTGAGGTGTAGCCTCACTTTGAGCAATCCCAGTGACAAGCGCTGGATAAATCAAAAGCTATTTTAAAAGTTTTTCCTCTTATAAAAGGATTCAGAGCAGTATTTCTGAAAGACGTTCCCCTGTGCAGGTTTATTTACAGAAATTATGTACATGCAGCAGGTCCAGAGGCCACCAGAGGGCAGAGGGTGTCTTCTGAAACACTTCAAGCTTCTGGCTGACCCCTGGGCCAGCTGTTTCACACTTGCCCTAATGGCTACTAGTGGCAGGGGGCGGGCTCCCCACCTCCAGAGGCCAGATTCCAGCTCCAGCTATGCCTGCACATCTGGATCTGACCTACAGTCTCCACCTCTCACCTCCAAGCTCTGCGTCATTAATACTGCTCCGGGGTCTGAAGAAAAGGCCTGCTTTCCAGGCAGAGGTCACACAGCCAGGCAACACACAAACTCAAGCTGTGGCACACACACCGTGGTTCACTCGGACTCTAACATGATGGCATGACACACACCACAGACACAGCTGTCCCTCCATGCACTCACAGTCAATGAAACTCACACAAGCACACACACAGTGACCTACACACGTGGTAGGAGAGACTCAAGCAGTGGAGCCCTCCTGATAAACAGAAAGGTTGGAGGAAAAGGTTGAGCAGTCAGTGGGGTGGGGAGCATCTTCCTCAAGAGATGGGGTCATTTAGGGAGGCCCCTATGATGAGCTGAAATCCCCTATATGGGCAGAAGGATCCAGGCCTAAGGGAGCGGGGAAGGCCTGGGTCAGACCAGGTGTCCCCGCCCATTGATGTAGATGCCATTCCCCGTGGGTTTGGCTCGCAGGGTCCCATTCTCCTGGACAAAATGGTTCATGGCCTGCTTGATGCCTTCATCCTGATCTTCCTCCTCCTCTGTCCTCCCAGAGCCTGGGGACAGCAGTTCAGTCTGTGTTTCGATCTCTCTCACTGTAGTCAATGTGGAGTAACTTCGGCCCTCTGGTTCTTCACTCTGTAGGCCAAGGGCAGAAGGCAAGTCACGGAGCAGGCCAGGGCAGCTAGACGTGTGGGGGTGTGGTTGGGTTGTGGTAGACTCAGAGGTCAGGCACAAGCAGGGGTAAGGGTTGTCTCCAAGGCATAAGGGCTCAGAGATCAGGGGCCAGGACCAAGTGTTAGGCATGGGGAGAGGGAGGTGGGAGACTGAAGGCATAGCAGAGATGAGGGCCTGGGCTGGGTGAGCCAGAGCTGCAGCTAGAGGGACTGGTGAGGGGGCTGCTGACACATCAGGTCTGGGACTAGGAGAGGGGCCTGAGGAGAATGGTGGGGACACCGGTGGGGCCGGGGGCCTCACCATCACAGAGCAGCTACTGTTGTCCTTGAGACTATCAGGGTGGCCCTCGGCTCTCAGCCCTACACTCTCCTCCGGCTGCAGGGCCCGGACATGGAGAGGAGTTAGAACAGAGCTCAGCCTCCTCAGCCTCTTCCCCTGTAGTCCTCCACCAGCCTCCTCCCTAATCATCTTACCCACAACCCAACAGGTCTATTCTCTCCTTGACACCAACATCCTCATTCCCTCCACCGCCACCCCACCACCCACCTGGAAACATTACTGATGGTGCTTCCTGGGACAGCCCCTTGGCCAGTGCTGAAGGGGGCCTTCTGGAGCAGCCCTGGCAGACCCAAAGCAGCTACACCCCTCAACTCTACCCTAGCCTAGCAGTAAACCCAGTAGAGGGCTGTGCTCCTAGTCCGCCGAGGGCCCATCCACAAGCAGATCCCGGCGTAGCCACACCCCATGCACGCATGCAGCCTGTGCACACACCTGGTTCCTGGGGTCCGTGTGATGGGAATGTAGCCTCCGGATAGAGTTCTCCCTGGTCAGTGTCAGCTCCTCCTCACTGGGAAAGACACCCCCTTGTCAGGAGCTGAGGGTAGTGGCAGCCTCCCAAGGTGAGCCTAGCCAGCCAAGCCTACATGAGATAGGGCTGGAGGGTGTGGGGGCCATGCTAGCCCTGTGAGTGTGAGTGCAGGTGGTAGTGTGGCCAAAGAGGGTGTGCATTCCATGCACATGTGCATATACTTGGTGATACTCTAGCACAAGGATCTGATCCTTACCCAGGGTGCAGGAGTCCCCACATCCAGCTATGCTCCAGACCCCAAGGGCCTCCTTGCCTCCCATAAGTCCTTGCCCCTCCCCATTCCATAAGCTCCCAGTTGTCAGGCCACCCAGTCTCCTCTCTCTTATCCTTCCTGGCCCCCCTCCTGCTTGCCTCCTTTGTTCCCAGCGTATCTATCCACCCTGGAGCAGCCGGTACTCACTATTTCTGGGTCATCTGCTGAGCTTTGCGTCGATGGTACCGGGACATGAGCACCACCACTATCACCAGAAGGCAGAACAAGAGCGCGGCGATCACACCCACCACCACCACCGAGGCTGACACTAGGTCCACCTGTTTCCCTGAGTCCTCCTGAGGGTCTGGTGGAGACAGGTCACTGTTTGAGCTAAATGCCCAGATCTATCCCAGACCCCACAGCACACCCTCCACAGCCTTCATAAAACTGTCCTAAGGCACCCCATCAGCCTGGCCCTCTGCAAACACTCACAGTCCCACCTCCTCTAAGTAAGCACTTTTCCCATTCACTCTCTTTGTCTTGCTTCCTGTTGCCCCCACCAGGCCCTCGGCCCAGGTCCCTTGTCTCTGCCCCTCAGTGCTTACCAAGAACATCCACAGTGACCTGAGAATCCCTTGAGGAGAGCTCATTGCTGACGTGACAGACATAGACACCACTGTGCTCAGTGGTCAGCGGTGGAAAGCCCAGAGTGTCCCCTTCCACACGAACTCCACTGGGCAGAGGCCCATCCAGCCTGGAGGATAGGAAAGCTTAAGGGCACTGGCTGAGGAGGGCTGAGGCTGCCACCACCCAACATGCCTGGGCAGCTCTCCACCCCTCTCCCCCATGACGTCACCCAGAGCCTCGAGCTATTCCCACGGTACCCCTCCCTCCCCTAGGCAGGTCCAGGCAGAGGCCTCTTTTCCCTGCTGCCCAGCCTGACCCAGCAGGCAGCCCCCACACACACTCAGGAAGATCCACATGTGTACCATCTCACATGCTCTCACAGGCACCACGTCATCCAGGACTGGGTACCAGGGACACATGATACAAAGTCTACATAACAAGACACCCCACTCCTAGCTGGGCTCAGAGGTAAGTGGAAAATGTGACTGCATGCTCCAAGAGGTGCAACTTTGCATGGCAGGGTCCACAAACATAGCTCCAGGCACAAGGCCATATGTATCACTTGTATGCTCACATGTGAGAACATGCCTGTCACGGGCTTGGGTATGTGTGTACCTGACCCCTCCCCAATTCTCTGGACATCTCAAACCCTGGAAAAAAGCCAAGTTCTCCTTGAGGGAACTGGTGGAGGTAGGTAGGTGTTTACGAGATGCTGGCAACACTGTGATGTTGACAGTAGTGTTGGTTTAACAACATTTACAAAGAGATTCAGCTTTGTCATTTTGTCTTAGACATTTTATTCACTCAGATTAATATATAAAAAATTAATATTGAAATGCTGTGTTATATTCCACCAATGACTACATGGCCTAGATTTCTTGGGCAAGCCAATGATAATAATCGGTGACTATGCACATTCTAGTATTGGTCTGAAGATGCACTCCAATTTATTTGGGGTTCAGAATATATAGTTCCAGCCCATAATTAGTACCTCCTGGCCTTGAGAAGGAAAGAACCTAATCCCAAGCTAGGCCCTCCCCCAGGCCCAGGCTCTTACCGTGTCCAGTTGTATGAGGGAGGGGGTTGCCCTTCACTCAGACACTTGAGCGTGGCTCCTTCTCTGCCAACGTGCCACAGCTTTTGGTCTTCAAGGCCCCTCACAGAGGCCTCAGCAAGGACTGGAATGGGAGGTGGGAGGAGAAAGAATGGGAATGATGTCTTTGATCATGTGGTACCTTGAAGGGTCACCACCCCTGCCCCACCCTGCCTGGAATAGCCTCCCCCTGCCCTTCTCCATCCTACTTATCTGCTGCCAAACCTAGCTTACCCCACCTCGCTCCTGGCCACACAGCTCCCTCCCCTCCCTAAGCTCAGAGTCTGTGTGGGTTTACCTGTGCAGTGAACCCTTAAGTCCCTCAGGGTAGTGATGTGTCACTTTTCTGGATGTCCTGGGGTGCCTACCATAGTGCTAGTCACAGAACAGGTGCTTAATAAATGCTGCCTGATTCTTCAAAGGCTTAATAATCCTACTAGTTCCTTTCTTTAACAAACATTTGTTGACAACCTACTTTGGAAGGCAGCTAGCTCACCACTATACCACCAATGCACTTGATGACCTACTTTATACAAAGTGCTAAGAATAGTCTTATCCCCCCAGAGACTTGAAATCTGATTCTGGGAAAACAATATCCCCCATTTATAGAGAGACTTCAATGTGCTATACATTAAGCGCTGTGAGAGTTGCTTTGCATTCATGGTTTCTAATTCTCATCAAAACCCTGTAAAGTTGGTATAATTATACTCATTTTGCCAATGAAGAAAGTGAGGCCTAACCAGATTAAATAACAGCTGGTAAATGGGAAAACTAGGCCTTCTCCTAAGTCTGTCTCCAAACTCCACAATATACATTTTATAAAGTGCTTTTATTTTTTCTTTTCTTTTTTATTTTTATTTTTTTTGAGACAGAGTCTCACTTTGTCAATCTTGGTAGAGTGCTGTGGCATCACAACTCACAGCAACCTCCAGCTCTTAAGCTTAGGCAATTCTCTTGTCTCAGCCTCCTGAGTAGCTAGGACTACAGGCACCCACCACAACACCCCGCTATTTTTTTGTTGCAGTTTGGCCGGGGCAGGGTTTGAACCTGCCACCCTTGGTATATGGGGCTGGAGCCCTACTAACTGAACCACAGGCACCGCCCATAAAGTGCTTTCAATTCCATTTTTATAACCAAATCTCTCAACACCCTTGGGAAGCAGGGCAATCTCCTTTGTAAAGATCAGGACACTGAAGCTCAGTGAGGTCTAAGAGATTTGCCACAGTCATTTGTGAGCATGTTCCAGGTCTTCTGCCTTTGAACTAGTGCTTTCTCATACACTATAGCCTCCAGGACCCAGGCTGGCCACCTTGGTGTGGCTCAGGACCTCACAGTGTCTTCCCTATCTTCTCAGAACCTGAGGAGCCTCCCTACTCCATCATCCAAGTACTTACAGGCCACTTGAAGGATGTGGGTGATCCTTTGGTCCTGGAGCAGGCCAGGGTGGGACACCACACAAGTAAGTGGCTGTCCATTCATGCTGCGGCTTGGCACTAGGCGGAATTCTGAAGTCACAGCGGCAGAGCGGGAGTACTTGAAGGAGCGGCTGGATGCTGTGCCTTTGACCTCTGTGTCCCAGGTCACACTGGGGGCTGGGCTGCCTTCAGCTGTGCAGGAGGCTGCCAGTGTTAGGCCCTGGCCTTCTTCTAGCGCTGGACCAGGATTCAGTGAGGGCAGGGGAGGCACTACAGGGGAGGAGAGCAGCAGTCATGGGTCCCACAGCCCCTATTAGGAGGCCCAAACCATCCTGTTTTAATTTTGCACAAGTGCAAACTTTCAGGCCCCTTTTCCTTCTCTTATTTCACCAAGACACCAGATAAGTAGGAGAATTTCAGGTGACTTTGTATCTTTCTTCATTACTTGAATTTTTCAATGAACACAGATCATTTGTTTAAATAAAAATCATGAAGTAATTAAAAAACTAACCAGATAGCATCTATATAATAGTTATAATAAGAATAGCCACTATTTAGTAAGCACTTACTGTTTGCCAACTATTATGCTAAACACTTTTAAACGTTATCTCATTTAATTCTGTCAACCAACCAGTGAGGTAGGTATTATTATCCTTATTTGACAGGGGAGGAAACTGAAGCTCAGAGAGGTTAAATGACTTCTTCCAGCTATTAGGTGACCAAGCCTAGATACACAGTAAGGTTTTTGTATTCCAAGGCTGATGTTATTAACTTCCACGTGAATAAAGCCTTTATTTTCATCTTCAAAATATTAACTGCCCAAGCACAGAATGGAAAAGTCATAACTTGACCATAGGTCCAGGTTGACCCCAGTGCACACAGTGCAAAGTTGTGGTTTACAAAAAAAGAAAGAAAGAAAGAAAGAAACAACCAAAGCGGTGGTTTAAAAGGTGACTGTGATCTCTGACCACACTCACCAAAGATCCAGATCAAGGAAAGTATTAGCCCCACTGGTCATGAATGGCCACAACGCTGGGCCTATAGGTCCACATTCAGGACCCTGCATTTTTATTTATTTATTTTATTTTATAATTATTAATCACTCTACACATTCAGGGGGACTTCTCTAATAATGAACATAGAAATGATCCCTAAAAGTGTAGTCTTAGGCCCTTCATCTTTAAAAACCATCGACCCCAAGATGGCGGGGGAAGCTTTGAGTTCGTGACTTAGGGATCTTAGGCGGCGCTGTGGCGGGAACCAGTAAATTTAGCTTGGAGAAGAGCGGATTTAGGTGGGGCATGACCAAGGGCCTCGGCTCTTTGGGAAGCAATAGTGCAGAAAGGAAAATGAGCCTGTGACATTTTGATTCATAGGGCAGAAGTAACAGGGAGATTTTCAAGTCATCGGAAGGAAGAACTTCCTAATAAATGATTCTCCCCCAGCTTTGGGGGTTACTTGGAGAGAATTTCTGGATTGAGTGCAAGGATGGATGGACTGGATGAAGTTCCTCACCACTGTAGGACCCATCTTGTATTTGTGTTTCTGCCTCTGCCCTATCCATTTCTTGAGGTCCCCATCTCCGCTTCTCCCGGCCTCCAGCTTCTCCCCTCTGAGACACCTGACCTGGGGGCCTGAGGCCTCTGCGCCCGCGCGCGCGCGCACACACACACGTACAGATCAGCCTCTGCCCAGGCCCAGCCAGCCCCACTTACCCAGCACCCGGAGCTGCAGACGGGCCTGGAAGCTGCCCGCGGGGAAGGTGCTGACGTGGCACTCGTACTCGCCCTCGTCCGCCTGTACCGCGTTGCGCAGGATCACGGAGCCGTCCAGGGGGTTCCGTGGGGGTGGCGGCTGTTCCACACGGCCCTCGTAGGCAGAGTTCACATGCAGCCCGTATTTGGAGTGCAGCAGCGCCAGCTCCTGGGCGCCCTCGCCCGCGTCCACCCGCGCCCAGGCCACCTGCCCCACCTGCTCTTCGGGGTCCCCTCGATAGAAGCAGGGCAGCTTTGCGTCCTGGCCCAGCACCACGGTCACCACCTCTGAGGTCTCCAGCTCACCCGCGGGGCACTGACCTGCAGGGGGCAGACAGGAGTAGCCTTCATTAGGGGCGCTGCCAGAGCAGTAAGGGTAGGGGGTGGGGGAACGCCAGCATGATGATAATGACAGTAAAGCCGGCAGGAACTCCTGGAGCATTTTGTGCTTGCAAAGCGCGTTCAGTTCATTACCTCATTACGGCCACAAAACATTCTTAGGAGGTAGGCGTTATTATCACATTTAACAGGTGAGGAAACTGAGACCCAGAAAGAGGAAGTGGCTTGCCTAAGGCCACACAGACGATTTATGGAAAACTCACGCCCTCTTGCAGAGTAGGATTGTATCCTGAGGAATTGATAGGTGGGAGGCTATAAGAGGACACAGCCCCTGCCCTCAGGGAGTTCACAGTCATCAGGGAAATGGAATTTATGCGCACAGAGACAGGGAAAGCCAAGAACAAACTTTCACAGGAGACTCAGTCTACCAATAAGGCAAAAGTGAATGCTTTCAGGAAGTGTGACTGGGAGTCATGGCAAGGGTCCAGAACCCATTGGTATCTGAGATGGGACATGCAGGGTTGGAAGGGTTTATCCCAGGAGGTCCTTTGGAACATTCTTTTCATGGCTTGAAGATGAGAGACCTGGATTCCCAGAGATCAGGAGGCATTCTATGTGGGAGGAATGGCATGAACCAAGGCTAAGAGGCAGGAATGAGCAAGGCGCTGAAGACAAAAAGGGTCAGAAGCCCAGAGAGATGAGGTCAGGGCAGACACAGTGACAGGGTCAGAATAGTGAGCCAGAATCAAAGGACCAGGGACAAAGGACTAGTGTTTTCCATACTGATGAAGAATAGGAGAAGCACTTGGGGACTCTGGAATCAAACATGTCCATCACGTAAGCTTATTTGCAAATAAGAATCAAGTTCCCTGCCCTCATGGAAGCTGAGGTCTGTTCAGGAGCAAGATGACAGAGAGAGAGAGAGAAACATGCAATGGTGGTTTCTGATTTCATACTCAGTGATGTGGTGCTGGCCAGTTGTGGGATGGGCAGTCATATGGCAGGGCCTCATAAATGAGTTGGGTAGGAATTAGGAGGGAGGGCTCAGGACCCATTGCTCAGTGATTAGGGCACCAGCCACATACAACAAGGCTGGCAGGTTCGATCCGAGCCGGGGCCTGCCAAACAACAATGACAACTATAACAAAAAAAAAAAAAAATTGCCAGGCATTGTGGTGGGCACCTATAGTCCCAGCTACTTAGGAGGCTGAGGCCAGAGAATTGCTTAAGCCCAAGAGTTTGAGGTTGCTGTGAGCTGTGATGTCACAGCGCTCTACTGAGGGTGACACAGTGAGACTGTCTCAAAAAAAGAAAAAAGAAAAAGAAAAAAGAATTAGGAGGGAGAAAGAGCTATAAAGGCATTCCAGGTAAGGGACCAAGTGAGCAAACACCAAGAAGGTAGAAAGGCTAGCTGGTTTGGAAAGCAGAGAGGAGAGGAGCTGACCTAAGTCAGGGTGTGTTCTTTAAGCAGCACTATAAAGTACGGTTGGGGTGTTGGGGTAGGGTGGGGCCAAATCACCCAGGAGGACCTACCATGACAGGCAAAGGAACCTGGTCAGACTTAGTCAAGAGGAAATGGGGAGACACGGAAGCTTTCTTAGCTTGGGAGTGCCATGCAGCAAGTGGTGATGTGTAGTCCGACTAGAAAGCAGGGAGCATGAAGACAGGACAGTCACCAGGAGGCTGCAGCTGCAACCCAGGCACAGAGGTGCTACAGTGGAGAGAAGACAGCTCTGGGAGAAATATGACCAGAAGGAGAGATGAAGCAGAGGAAATCCTCAAAGACAGCTCCTAAATTCCTAGGATGAGTAATTTAGGAGGGAGTTCATGGTTGGGGAGAAATAAATAAATAAATAAATTTAGAGTCATGAAATAAAAAGTAAAATATAGGGATTGGGACCCAGGGGCAGAAGGGAAGAGCGCTCTGAAGTGGTAAGAACTCCGTGCCTTGGAATGAATACCCTATGAACCCCAGCAACTCCCAAATGTGTGCATCTCTGACTCTGCCCAGCATGTCACACACCCCAGTATTCTTCACCTTTGCTCACACTGTCCCCTCTGCCTGGAATGCCCTCCTCCCCATGTCTGGGAGCTCCTACTCATCATTGTCTGGATAACTCCTACTCATCCTTTAAGACTCTGCTTAGACATCGTTTCCTCCTGGAGTCCTCCCTCCACCCCCACCTCAGGCAGCATTAGGTGCCCTTCCTCTGTACTTCCCAGCACCCTGCTTTTACCCCAACCACAGCACTTCACCCCACAGTTAGTGTTTGCTATTTCCTTGCCCACCTGTATTACCAGACTGAGCACTGAGCTCAAGAGTAGAAACTGAGTCTCCCCTCACATATGGAACTATGGTTTTCTTTCTTTCTTCCTTCCTTCCTTCCTTCCTTCCTTCCTTCCTTCCTTCCTTCCTTCCTCTCTCTGTCTTTCTTTCTTTCTCTTTCGTTCTTTCTTTTCTTCCTTCTTTCCTTCCTTCCTTTTAAAATTTTTGAGGCAAAGTCTCACTCTGTCACTCTGATAGAGTACCATGGTGTTATCATAGCTCACACTAACCTCAAACTCTTGGGCTCAAGAAATCTTCTTGCTTCAGTCTCCTGAGTAGCTAGGAGTCCAGGCGCCCGCCACAATGCCCAACTAATTTTTCTATTTTTAGGACGGTGCCTGTGGCTCAGTGAGTAGGGCGCCGGCCCCATATACTGAGGGTGGTGGGTTCAAACCCAGCCCTGGCCTAACTGCAACAAAAAAATAGCTGGGCCTTGTAACAGGCGCTTGTAGTCCCAGCTGTTTGGGAGGCTGAGGCAAGAGAATCGCCTAAGCCCAAGGAGTTGGAGGTTGCTGTGAGCTGTGACTGCACAGCACTCTAGAGAGCATTAATAAGTGAAACTCTGTCTCAAAAAAAATAATAATCATTTTTCTATTTTTAGTAGAGATAGGGTCTCATTCTTCATCAGGCTGGTCTCAAATTCCTGAGCTCAGGTGAGCCACCTGCCTCAGCCTCCCAGAGTGCTAGGATTACAGGCATGAGCCACCGTGCCTGGCTGGAACCATGGTTTCTGATTTAGTGTTCAGCAGTAAGTGATCTCCATTCTTGGCACATAATTGATGCTCAATTAACATTTATTGACTGACTGAATAAATGAATGGGTGAATGAATGAGAAAACTGAGCGGAAGAAGGAAAGAGTAGAATGAGGAGTGAGCAGTCCTTCACTGGGCTGGGCAGAGAGGGCATTGACATGGCAACTTTGGGGTGGAGGCTGAATCGGCTGACTAGCAAAGTTCACTGCCAAAAGGGGCACCTTTAGACTGGACAGAGAAAGAAAAGAGGGATGGAGGGAGACAAGCATGGAGGGAGGAAATGAAGCTTCACTGGTGTGTACCAGAGGGATCCAGTGAGGCAGAGCATGGGCAGAGGAAGGGGGTCCTATGCCCTTGCTGGCAGAAATAGAGGGAGAGGGGATGCTATTGGGTGCTGGGAGGGCCTCAATGAGACAGGACAGACTTGCAGGGCCAGATACCAGGGCCCTGACCTGCCTAAGCTGATGTTGGTCCCACCCAGCCCAACCTAGGAGTCCAGCTAAACACCCGCACCCCTCCCAGGTACCTCCTCCTGGCACTGGAGAGAGCAGAGCTGCCAAGGAAGGACTAGGAGTGGACCTGGTAGGGGGTCTCCAGCACATCCTCTGCTTTACAGCATCTGTGCAGGCCATAAGGATCCCAAGGCTTGTCCTACTGGGACACTCAAAACCTTCTGAAGACTATTTCTGGGACAATGTCAGATGGCATATTTCCCATCCCTGTTCCTATACTTGCCATCCATCTGCCTTTTCCCCACCACTAATCACCCAGATTTCCCTCAAAAATGCCTTTTTAGAGCACAGTAGGCATCAGGTATCTAGCACATACCTGAATCCCAATCCTCCTTGTTCCCACCTATGAGTCTAAGATTCCCACTCCCAAGGGACAAACCTAAGCTTTATAGAATGAAGAACCCAGTAAAACAGGAATATCCCTCTAGATCACCCCATAGCCCCTCATTATCCTAAATCCACTATTTAGTAGGGGCATCTCAGCCTGGGGCAACAGGCTCCTCTAGCTATGTACCTCCCTACCACCCTATAGGTTACAAAAGAAGAGAAAATAGAAATTAGGCCCTAGGATCCCTGTCCTTAGCTAAACAGACCCAGGAGCCCAGGTTTCCAGGCCAGGGCAGGCCACAACCACCTCCTCCTTCTCTCCCCCACCCAGTGCCAGCCTGGCGTCAGCATGATGATGTCACCAGACTGAAGAGACACACTGCCTGCCTGGTGAGGTCACCCTGCGGGCATGTGGTAGCCAGGCCAGGCCAAGCCCACAGACCCTTCAGCAGCAAATTGCTGAAGCTGGTTGACTCTGGCCAGTTGGACACCCCTTCCTCTGACCCTCCCACCCCTCCTCCTGGGAGCACCAGGACGCTGGTCAGGAGCCTTGGTGACTCAGAAGCTGCTGCACAGCAGCAAGCCTAGCCACAGCCGCCACCACCTTGCGCAATGGAGAACAGGCCCAACTGGCCAGACGGGATCCCTGCCCTTGGCCTCCCCCACCCCTGGCCAGGCCCCCATGGGCCTCTTTGGAGCCCAGCCCTTTGTGTACCCCGCCCGCTCCCAGACAGGCCCTCCATTCCTGGCTTGGGTTGGCTGGCTGCTCCCCACCCTGGACCTGGGTCCCAGCTTTCCATTCTGTGTGAGGGCTGGCTTCTGATCTCATGGAGGGGAGGGGGACCTGAGGTTGGCACCTGCAGATACCCAGCCACATACAGCAAGCATCTTTGAGGAAACATCTTTTCTTGTGAGGGATCTTTCTTCACCAGCATCCCCTGCTAGTAGTTATGGGGGTCCATGTAGGGGTCTTAGAGGTGGGTCTGTGAGAAGGAGGAAGGGAGTAAGTATGAGTTGTTTGTGTCTGCATGTATGGGTGTCTCTGGGTGAGAGCCTGGCCTGTCTTGGTGCTGGTTCACATGCATGTGAGGCTACCTCATTGCATAAATTTGGGGGTGTTTGGTACATATATTACATCATGTCCTTGATGCTGGTTCACAAGCATGTAAGGTTACCTCGTTGTATAAATTTGGGGGTGTTTGGTACATATGTTATTTGGAGGAATGTACACAGTTACTTGTCTGTGTCCCATGGGAAGAGCTACATGTCCATGTGTGTGAACATGTGTGCACACACCCTCCGTGTGCATGGCGTGCTCTCTTGTCTCAGAGAACTCTGCGCACATAGTAAATATTTTGATGTTGGTTTATCTTGGCTTCCATATGTCTTTGTCTCAGCAGCCCTTGGTCAGTGGTGTGTGGCTCTGAGCCTTTACCTCTGGATCCTGTCTGGAATGTCACCCCCGGCATCTCTCCCCACCTCACCACAAGACTTGAGGGCAGATTCATCTCAGGCTCAAGGTGGAGATACCCAGAGATGAGGTCATTGTCCCTCCAGGTGATGGGAAATTGCCATCAAAAGCTCTCCAATAGAACAAAACAAAAGATCCCTCTGCCCTTGTTCCTCAGGTTCCTATTAAAGGGACTCCTACCCTCTTCACCACCGACCCCCACCAGCCACTCCCCTGGGCCCCCCAGAACCTCTGGCCCCCCAAGGAGGCCTCTCCCTGGGAATCTCTGTCAGGGCTCTGCTGCTGCCACCACCAGAAAAACCAGCTCTGGCTTGGGCTTGGGGTAAGGCTGTCTGGTGTGGGTTTGGTGGGAAAGGGGGGCATTCTGCCTGGGGCGAGGGGGAGGAGTTCAGGTTGTCTAGGGTCTCATTCTCCTTTGTTAACTCCTGCCTTCCCTTAGCCCACAGGAATAGTCCCCACCAGACACTGGTGGAGTCTGTGGGTGAGTCTAGGGGAAAAAGGGACCTGAGAGGGAAGCAGTGAAGCTCCCCATCCAGGACAGGTGACATGAACAATCAGCAAGACTTTTTCTCCCATAACCTTGGCCTAGCAGTGCTAAGGAACTTAGAAAACCAGAAAGATGATTTTCCCTCAACCTTCATCCACCTCCCTCACTTACCCCCCATTGTCCTAAGCCCACCAGCTTAGTGAGAGCTTCCCCAACCCGGGCAAAGCGCCCACCTGCAGATTAGTGTCTGAGAGGGGGGCCACCCCAGTCACAAAGGGAGATGAGAACAATGGGGGAGGACGGGCCTTGCAGCAGCCCGCCTCTGGCCCAGACACAGCTCCGAGCACAGATAAGTCCCCTAAACCCCCCGGAGCCAGAGTCTGAGCCCGGCTGAGTCACCACAACAGTCACACTGTGGGTGGGAGACCCAGGATTTGCCTTCTCCCAAACTCCTGAGATCCTAGCCCCCCACACTGCCCCTCCACCCACTATGGCCAGCTCTGCCCCACCCCAAATCACATTTTCAACCCCAGCTCTCAATACACACCAGCTTTAGAGGAACGGGGGCAGAGGGGTGGCCAGAAAACTACAGAAAAGCTCCTGAGAGCAGAGCCTCCTGGTTCCAGGGAAAGAGGGATCCCAGCCACCTTCACAGCCATCCCCCATGAGGCATGTGGATGACTCCCCACTTCTGAACCTCACCTCCTCATTTTAGATTCTGCTCCCGGATCCAGACCCCAGGATCCTCACTCTCTTCTCTCCTGACTCGGTTCCTCACATCACTTCCATCCCTTCTCTTTGCCTAGACTTTGGTCAATGCCAGAGCATGATTTGGAGTCTGGAGACTCAGGTGTTCTCTCCTCACTGGCCTCCTCTCCTCAGTGCTGATCCCCTGAGTGCCAGGAGGACCCCAGGGTCTTGAGACTGTGGTCCATGTGACAGGACCATGAACTCTAAGCTCCTCACTTCCATCTCTGTGGCTGGGGTCTCCTTGGCCCATCTCCCTCAAACACTAGGGTAGATCCAAGGTCACTGGGGCCACAGGGCTTCCCTAGGATTCTCCTGGTCTCTTGCCACATTGGGTGGGGAAGCTAGCCTCCCTTGCTGGCTTCCCTGGACTTGGGTAGGTCCTACAGGAAACGGCCTGCCCCCCTCTGTAAATTGGAGTAGAAAAGCAGGGCTGGGCCCCTCCCTTTCTAGGAAAGCAACTTCAGACAGAAAGCTGATCCTAGCCCTCGGAAGACAGACCTTGGAATCCAGAGAACTACTCATCCTCTGGTCTTGCAAGGCCCACTGGGCCCAGACAAAGAGCTAAGGACTAGGGTGGGGGGGTAGGTCTCATAGATTTGGGCCCCTGAGCCCCAGGGCAGGAGATGGGGGAGGGAGAAGAGAGAGGACCTCACTCGGAAACTCATCCCATTAAGGAGAAACAAAGAGCTGTGGTGTCAGCCGCCTCCCAAGCCTGGGCTCCTCTCCCTGTCATGGGTGGGGCAGAGCCCTGGGGCTCAGAGCTCTAATGGCCCAGGAGTTTGGGGTGAATTTGTAGCAGGTCCTGGAAGACAGTATCCTATCAAAAGGTACCCTGCTGCCTTCTGCAGGGTGGGGCGAGGAATCTTCCCCTTCTGTCTCTACAGCCCCTCTGAGTGACTTCCAACATGCCAGCATCCCCATTCAGCTAGGGACAGTCACTGAGCCATAGTATTTCACAGCTGGACAGTCCATAGAGATATCTGATGCTGGCTTTGGTCCACCAAAGTCTAGTTTCTTAGTTGCCCAAGGTCATCTAACAAATTAGTAGCAGAAACAGGGTCTGGACCCAAGACTCCTGACATCACAGTCCAAGGCTTTTTCAGAGACATGAAACACTCCAGGTTTTGGGGGGCCTACACACAGATGAGCCAGAATGGGGGTGGAGGTGGAAATAGGACCAGCTTATCCTCAGGCTGGGAACCTAGGGATGGAGTTTCCAGTCTTTGGAGCAAGCGCCAGCTCTGTGCAGTCACAGAAGTGGCAGCAGCAGAGTGGCCTCTCACTAGCAAACTGGGACCTGGTTTCCTCCCTTCCCACAGCACCCCTCAGTCAGGCACTAGGTGAGGCCAGGCATAGTTTCCTAACTAGAAGGGAGTCTCCAGTTCCCTTCTCTGAGCTTCTCTTAGAAAGGACAGTTTTGCATCATGGAAAAAGAAAGCAGAAGCCATGTCTTACCCTGCATCTCTAGCACCTAGCACCCCAGCTATACGCAGTATGCACCCAAAGGAGCTGGGAGCCAGGAGACCGAGACACTAACCTGAGTTATGCTTCCAGTACCAGAAATCTTGCAGATCTCACTTGCCTATCTATTTTTCTCCATTGCCCATCTGTAAAATGAGGGCGTTGGAGAAGTACTCTCTTTGATCCCTTCCATGTCCTGAGACAGCATGGCTCCATTCTTCAGGTGTGGGTAGATCCTACAAGAAAGTGACTTTGGGGTTCCCTGACCCCAGGAACCAGGCCCCACTCTCTTGCAAGTGAGGAGGGTTGTTTGGAAGATGGGAGTTAAGACAAAGGGCTGGAGATGGGGGAATGGCAGGGGTAAGAGCTCAGTATCCTTTGACTAAAGGCTGGGCCACTGACCCTTCCATTATAAGATCAGAGTGAGAGCAGCCCCTACCCTCACGAATCCACACATCTAGGCCTTGCCCTCCTCCTTAGAGCTTCAGCTGGAGATGGAGTAGGGGAATTACCGCCAGGTCCTGCTAGACACCTGAGGCTCCCTTGCTACTGCTCTTGGAACTAAGAATCAAACTATCCTATCTAAATAGGGGCCCATCTTTCCAGAGAGAAAGATTTTTCAGTTACTCATTACTCTGAGAACAGCCTATGGAATCCCACTGCTGTCTCATTGTGCCTTTACCTGCACACACTCTCTATCACTCTGAAGATCATATACTTCTATAATTTGTAACTGCTCTGTATACAATAGACAGGCAGGAGGTGAAGAATGATACAAGGTATCTAGCTGAGAAAATAGGGGGACAGGAGGCAAACAATAAGGGACCATACCTTATCTAGAAGGTACTCTATCCTACCCACTCATCTAAACCCAATTATACCACACTGGCACCTAATACTGTGCCCAGGGAAATAGAGGGGCCACAGTGAGAGGAGTTCTCAGCTCCCCCAGAGGCTCCAACAGGTGCGTCAGTCCTGGTACTCTAGAACATCACAGAGGGAAGAGGAGATCGACATGCCCTGCACCCTGATGACTGCTGAGACCAGATCAGCCCTGAGTTAGCCCTCGTTCCAGGCATCAGTCCTGGTGCCCATGGGTAGGTCAAGGAGCCTTAGAGACCCCCTGGGAGGAACAGGATCCTCACAAGTTCCTCCTCCCTGCCCACCTGCACTGAGGCACCACATCTCTTCCCTCTGAGACAGCTCAGGCCTAGGCAAGGCTTTGGCAGATGTCATCAGGATCCTAGACATAGTGACCTGGCCTGGGAGCAGGGAGGGGACAGGAAGGGAAAAAGCTACACTGGCTCTTCTGGGGCCACTGCTCGCAGCTAGGGGTGAGAGGAAGAGATTGGTTCCTCAGGTCAGAGTCAAAGGAAAGAATGTGTGCGTGCATGTGTGCATGTCTGTGTGCGTGTCTGTGCCAGGATGGGCTCAGAAGCAAGGGTCTTGATGGTTCAGGCAAGTCCTACCTGGAGATGATGCCAGCAGCAGCAGCAGCAACCAGGCTTCAGGCCCCCACATCTCGGCTCCCAGGGACAGGGGCATTGGTTGAAAGGCAGACCTGCCCAGCGTTTCTGAAGTTCCACCGACTTCTCCCTGGGAGCCGGCTCTAGAGCTGGATGAGGCACCAACCCAGAAGGCAGGAAGCCGTGGAGTCCCAAGGCACTGATGCACCTGCCTATCCCACTTGGGTATCCACTTGGGGACCCAGCCCCGTTCTACCTACCCAGCCGTAGCTACCCCCAGGGAAGCCGTGATCGGGAGCTCTGAGCTCCCCCAGAGCTGCTTCCCACGCCGTGGCCAACAACGACGCAGAAACCTGGGAACCTGCTCAGCAGGTCAGAACAGGTGCGTCTCTGGGGGCGGGCCTGGCACAGAGACTCAGCAGCCACCGCCCCCATGGCCTAGGCCAGCTAATGGGCGCCAGGGAGGGAGGGAAGGAGGGAAGGGCCTGGGTGGGGGCAGTGGGGTCCCATCCTCAGCTGCAGGCTTTACCTGCACATGTGTGCAAGGGGCTGTGAAGGGAGAGGAGAAGGTGATGGAGTGGAGGCCCAGGTGTCTCAAAGGAGGAGGCCAGGCCAAGATGAACAGGGGCAAGGCCCTGTGGGTGAAAGGAACCCAAACACCCCCAACCCCGCATCCACCCAGCTAGCCTTGTTGCCTCCCGGGGGCCTTGACAAGTTCCTCAATCTCCTGGAGGGGCTCAGCTTTGGAGCCACAGAATCAGAAGCCAGAACTAAGCAGGATTCTGTCAGTGCTGGTCTGTATACTTCATTCTTCAGATGAGAAAACTGAGGCCCAGAGAAAGGGAGGGACAGAGAACATACAACTTCATACCATGAACTGCTCAGGCACCTCTATCCCTGAGGCAGGGAGCTAGATCAAAAATCTCTGAGAAAGAACTTAAGTGGCTGCCCTGACCCTGTCCCTATGTAGGGGAAGTCAGGGGACTAACTGAGGAACCAGCCCTATAGATGCCTGGCTTTCCTGTCAAGGCTCTCAGTTTCAACATCCTGTTACCTGGCCAAGAGTCCCAACTTGAGTGTAAAGAGGTTCCTTTTTACCCTCTCCATGGTCATCTTATCCATTTTACCCCATGGTCACTGGACAAGACCACATTTTTGGCCTTTGCAAGGACAATCTTGATTTCTTTTTTTTTTTTTTTTTTTTTTTTTGAGACAGAGCCTCAAGCTGTCTCCCTGGGTAGAGTGCCGTGGCATTACAGCTCACAGCAACCTCCAACTCCTAGGCTCAAGCGAGTCTCCTGCCTCCGCCTCCCAAGTAGCTGGGACTACAGGCGCCCGCCACAACGCCCGGCTATTTTTTGGTTGCAGCCGTCATTGTTGTTTGGCGGGTCCAGGCTGGGGATTCGAACCCGCCACCTTAGGTGTACGTGGCTGGGACAATCTTGATTTCAAACACTCTGTTCCTATATCCCTGTAAGTTCCTGCACGCTTGTCAGAGCATGTGTTTCCACTGGGATGTGTAAAATGTGACCACCAAGTTACACAAAACCTTATCAGTCTAGCTGGGGTAGCCCGAGGATGGGGGCATATTCTGAGGCTCCTGAAAATTTGGTGAGGGACAGGGGCAAATCACTCATAGATGAGGGCTCAACAAAAGGTAAATATAAAGACAGACATAAGTGAAGAAAAAAAATAACAGGTTAAAATCTTGCAGCAGGGTGGCACCTGTGGCTCAAAGGAGTAGGACACTAGCACCATATACTGGAGGTGGTGGGTTCAAACCCAGCCCCGGCCAAAAAATAAAAAAATAATAATAAAAAAAAATCTTGCAGCAGAACCCTTTGGTCTGGAGGGGGCAGGAATGAGGAATCAAGAAGCAGTAAGGGGGGGGCCATTTCACGTAGAATATTCTTCACATCCCTCCCCTACCAATCTTACCTGTCAAGATCTTATTCATCTTTCAAAGCTGACCTCAAATGCCACATCTCCCGGGAAGCCTTCTCAGCTCCTCCCACCCCAAATTAATCCTACTCCTATTCTTCCTCAGCCTTTGCTAGTCTCTTTATTATAGCTTATGTGCTCATAATTTGTGCACATCTTATCTCCCTAACTAAACTGTAAGCTTCAATTCAAGAAACATTGATTAAGGCCTGCTCTGTGCCAGGGATTCAATAAATGCATAAAACTGAGGAACAGAATGAGAACTGTAGTCTGTGAACCCTTCCAAAGTTGAGCTTGTTTTATAACCCTATCTCTAGTCACCCATAGGACATGATAGGACAGTCCATGGCACTTAATAAGAACTCAATATATTTTGGTCGACGGCATGAGTTTCTGAATAAATGAATATCAGGATGGGAAAGGTAGTGAGGTAGGGTCAAAGAGCTAAGCTTCTGACTGTGAGTTACCATCCTAAACCTGGCTTGTGACCTGGACTTTAGCCCTGCAGCCCCATCTCTGGCGCTAGATCCCAATTCTCAGCAATGACCATGGCAGTGACCTCTTCTTCAAGGGCTATTTCCTGCAGGAAAAAGGTAGCCTCAAGGGTCAGGCTGAATGCCCAAAGTCTCCAGTTTCTCTCCACCTCCACCTTGGCAACCCCCCTCCCTCTCTTTAGGACTCAGGTCCCCACCTGTGCCAGGGGAGCAGCCCCACCCAGATGCTGCTTTGAGATCCACTGTGTCAGGGCCAAGGAGAATGGGAGGAGGGCGCATCCTGTGTTATAATTATAATTATCACACTTTGGATCCTATCGCATGCTTTCAGAGGAGCTTCTTTTCTTCCCACGGATTCACCCCTCAGGTATAGGAAACCACAAGGAGAAACTGAGGCATGGTGGTGGGAAAGCAGTTAGATCGCAAGGTGGGTATCCAATCTCCTTCAGCCTTTTGATCCTCAACATACCCCTCCTTCCAAGTGCTACCAATTAGGATGGCTCTGAGCCCCTGTTTGGGATTCTTACCCCCAATTCTAACCATATGAAACACTGGAAGGAGGCAGAACTTTCTGGAGGTAGTGTTAAGGTGTGGCTCCACCCATTTTTCCACAGGTCTGTTCAGGTCCTAATAAACACCAGATGCAGCTTTGAAGGGGGCTAAGGGCAACACGAAGCCTGAGAGGGAGCCCTGGGGCCAGGTGGTCACTCTGGGCCTCATTTTGCAAATATTCTATCTCCTAGTTCCTTGGTCCCCTCCTTCCCTCAATCCTATTGTCTTGCAAGGGCTATGCTCTTGGAGACTATGCCCTCCTCCTTAGGCCTTTTTCACTCTCTTCTAAGATGAAACCTGGGGAAGGCATCTGCTGGGTCTGGAAGAAAATATTGGCTGAGGAAGAATTTCAAGACCAATGCCTGGTATCCGGGGTTTGGCTCTTTCTTCTACATTGAATCCCCATTCTCCTCATGCCTCACTACCTACCCTCCTCCTACCCACATTCTGGGTCCTAAGAATGGGAACAATTCAAGCCACAGTAGCATCTTTATGTACTTACGTACTTGTGCATGAACAAGTGGCATCACTGTGTACATGCCTGCGCACACGCATTCATTCAACAGGCATTTAGTGAGTGCCACTTTGTCTAACACTCAAGGGAGGAGGCAGAGGCACAAAACACATAGTCCCTGCCCTCAAGGAGCCCCCTTCAGACACATAAATGACCATAAGGTGCTATATGGCGCCATCATGCATCCCCTCTGCCTCTGTACATGGACATGCCGTGCACACACATGGAGCTGTCTCTGTGTATATGACAGTGGATGTCCATGATCTGCATGTGTCCAAGCATCCACACATACCCATCTCTGCCTCCATGACAGGCTGCACGCCTAAGCCTAACCGGTTGGAGTGGGTTGTGCTGAAATTTTTGTTTGTGTCAATGGGACTTGAGGTGAGTCAGGGAGGGACAAGGATGGGTGGAGTGGTGTGGAGGAGAAAGAGTGAGAGTGAGGGTCAGACTGAGTGAGTGGGGGAGGGAAGGAGTGGGCCCAGGTGGGCAGGGCTAGGGGTAGGGTGGCAGGAGGATGGACTAAGAGACCAGTGAAAGAGCTCTGTAGTGAGTAATATCCTGCTGTCTGCAGTGTGATCCCCAGTCAGAAAAGAGTCAGAGGCGGGGAGTGGGGGACAGAACCTTGGACTTTGGGAGAGAAGAGGGAGAATAATAAGTCCGAGTGGAACCAGTTGAAAGCTTGGATGTAGATAAAAGGTTTGTGGTCATTTCCATATGGCTTTGCCTCTGTGTGATAGATAGGCTTTCCATAATCTCCTCATTGCCTTTGTTTCTAAAACTTTGTACAGAAAAGTGTTGGCAAGTTGATATGGTAGAAGATTACCAGTATAGGACTTGATCCCATCCCCAAGAACAGAAGCTCAAAGTCACTCCTCCTGCTCCTCCTTAGGATGTGCCCCACACCCCAGGGAGGAGGAGGAAGGGATCCCAGTACAGAGTACAGGGGGTCTAGTAGCCTGTTACCCAATCTTGTTTTCCAAGAGAGTCCATGTAAAAGTTGCCCTGTGCTGTGGTGTTCTTATCTGCCTTTCATGCAGGCCTGTGATTCCCCAATACCCAGCCCCATCCTTTAATGACAGCATTTCCTGGTTGCCTAACAATATCCCTCAGAGCTCAGGGGGCTGGATATGCTTGTTCTTCAAGGGCCCTAAAGCTGGAGTGCGCCACCCAGGGGAGGAGGTGGCTGAACACAAGGCACTTCTGGGTCCTATTTCTCAGCAGGCCCAGTTGTGTGCAGAGACCTGTCCTCCTTGCTGTCATCCCATGAACTTCCCAAGCTTCTAGAAACATGCTAATACAATGTCAGGGACCAGGGTTAAGAGACAAACACCTTTATTCTTTGAACCTGCATCTGTGGATGGGCTGGCATTTTTAGAAGGCTCTTGGAATACATCCTGACTGGGACAGATGAGAGTAGGAGCTCTCATGGAAATTAAGAGTCTTCTAAGTGGTGAAAATAGCAGCAAAAGATGCAGCAGCAAGGGGGAGTTAAGAGCAAAAGGTTAGATGGTTTCTGAGAATTTAGTGAGAGAATGGATTCTAGTGAGGACCCCAGGTGTGCTCCTAGCACTCTTC